GGCCATGGTGTGTGGGGGGGGCAGGGAGGGGCTGGGGGCCACAGTGTGGGGACAGGGAGGGGTGGGGGTCACGGTGTGGGGGCAGGGAGGGGCTGGGGGGCCACGGTGTGTGGGGGGGCAGGGAGGGGCTGGGGGCCACGGTGTGGGGGCAGGGAGGGGCTGGGGGTCACGGTGTGGGGACAGGGAGGGGTGGGGGTCACGGTGTGGGGGCAGGGAGGGGCTGGGGGGCCACGGTGTGTGGGGGGGCAGGGAGGGGCTGGGGGCCACGGTGTGGGGGTGACAGGGAGGGCCTGGTAGCCCTCTTTTGGGGGGACAGGGCAGACTGTCTGGATGGGCAGCTCGGTGAAGGTCTGTGGAAGGCTGACGTGAGCAGAGACAAAGGAATCTCATCAAGGTCTGGGAGATGAGCATTCCACAGGAGGCGGCTTTGAGTTTCTGAGACAGAGAGCCGTCTTAGCAAGTCTGTGAGCCGGCCCTCAGGCCGTGTGGCTGGGACTCAGGTGTGGCCCTCGGAGGGTGAGGGAAGATGTGGCTCTGCGCAGTGGTGGGCGGCATCCTCAGTTCATCACTAAGGTGTCTGCCTGCCTCTTCTACTTTACCTGTTGCTCTCTTGCTTCCACTCTGGCCAGCTCCCCTGGACTTAGCTGACATCTGAGCATCCTCATGGCATGAGGGTGTCAGGAGAGTGGCCTGAGACGATCGAGATGCAGCAGCGGGCCAGGCAGGGCACAGTTGTGGTCGTCTGTTCAGGGGCTGCTGGTGCTTTGATCTGCGGTGGTAGCGGTGGAAGTGGGGAGGGGAGTTTAGATTTTCAATATGTTTTGAAGGTAGCCAACCAAATTTGCTGATGATGGGGATGAAAAGGAAAGAGGAATGAAGTTTGATTTCTAGTTCTTGGCCGCAGCCACCAAATACAAGGGCTTCCCAAGTGGCTCAATGATAAACAACCCTCCTGCCAATGCAGGAGACCTGGGTTTGATCCCTGAGTCAGGAAGATCCCCTGGAGGAGGAAATGGTAACCCACTCCAGTATTCTTGCCTGAGAAATCCCATGGACAGAGGAGCTTGGAGAGCTGCCATCCATGGGGTCACAGAGAGTCAGACAAGTCTGAGCAACTGATGCATGGTGGCAGCCATCGCTGAGAATAAAGACTGTTTACGGGGGCAAAGGACAGCGTTAAGCTTGGGTTATGTTATGTTCAGAGTGCTCCCTAGATGTTGCGTGTGTGGGCAAGTAGGCTGTTGCAGGTGGGAGGAGTCTGGGCTCAGGATCAGCCTGATGAACTGCATGTAACTAGAGAACAGGTGATATTCTGTGTGGGAGACCAGGTATGATCACCAGGGGAGCAGGTCCAGGTAGGATGGGAGAGCGCCAAGGACTGAGTGCTGGGGCTGAGACTCCGAGAAGGTCAGGAGTGGCCCGCGGGGTTGGAGGGAAACTGGGAGAGCCTCTTGTACTGGAAGCCATGTTAAGAAAGCATTTCAAGGAGCAGAGATCCACTGCCAGCGTCTCCAGAAGCATTGATGCTGCGAGTGGTAGGAGGCCAGTTGTGATTTCAGTGCCTGGTAGCCCCCATTCTGTTTATCCCACAAGAATTCACCTTGTCTCTGTGAAAGTGTCCTTAGGAAGGGGTAAAGGTTGTGATGATTGAAAGTGAAAGTAAAGTCTCTCAGTCATGTCTGACTCTTTGCGACCCTGTGGACTATAGCCCACCAGGCTCCTCTGTCCATGGAATTCTCCAGGCCAGAATACCGGAGTGGGTTGCCATTTCCTTCTCCAGGGGATCTTCCTGACCCAGGGATCGAACCCAGGTCTCTTGCATTGCAGGCAGACACTTTAACCTCTGAGCCACCAGAGAAGCCCAATGTGATGATTGACGTTTTCTGAATTATGGACTATGCCGGTCTTTCATCTTTTAAAGTCTATTTTGTATTTATTTCCCGGAAAATAGTTTTTAAAGACAAAAAGGGTGCCAAAAACGAAAGCTGTTCTGGTTATTTTATTGGTATTGCCTGGTTTGTATCTGGAGATTCTCCTATGTTATCGGTGCACAGTGGTACCTGGTGACCTGATAATAAGTAGTGATTTCACAGAAGGAGATACGGAGTTACTGGCTTCCAGATGTGTGGACACAGTGAGTGTGGGGGTTGGGGGAGGTGCCTCAGGAAACGGTCCACCCCCTAAACCTGGTCTCCTTTGCTCACTGTGGTGTCTGGCATACCTTGGTGTCTGGCACATGGAGACACTCAGTATGTGTGTGGAGTCAGTTAACTTGGTGTGCGTGTGCTCAGTCATGTCCAACTCCTTGTGACCCCATGGGCTGTAGCCTGCCAGGCTGCTCTGTTCCGTGGGATTTCCAAGGCAAGAGAACTGAAGTGGGCCATCATTTCCTTCTCCAGGGGATTGTCCCAACCCAGGGATTAAACCCATGTCACTTGCATTAGCAGGCAGATTCTTTACTACTGCACCACCTGAATTAATTTTTGTTTGTTCAGTCATTAAGTCATGTCCAGCTCTTTGCAACCCCATGGACAGCAGCATGCCAGGCTTCCCTGTCCTTCACTATCTCCCAGGGCTTGCTCAAACTCATGTCCATCGAGTTGGTGATGCCATCCAACCATCCCATCCTCTCTCATCCCCTTCTCCTGCCTTCAGTCTTTCCCAGCATCAGGATCTTTTCCAGTGAGTCAGCTCTTTGTATCATATGACCAAAGGATTGAAGTTTCAGCTTCAACATCGGTCCTTCCAGTGAATATTCAGGTTTATTTCCTTTAGGATCGAATGGTTTGATTTTCTTACTGTCCAAGGGACTCTCAAGAGTCTTCTCCAGCACCACAGTTTGAAAGCATCAGTTCTTCCCACATCCTTAACAGGACCCAAAAGTTAAGGAACTCATGAGTGAAGCCACCTACACAGAGGAAACAGCAGTCTGTGAATTTGCATAATTTCTGGGAATAGTCATTTTGTGTTTCCCACAGTGTTGCTTCTGTACCTCTCAGGCTGTGCCCAAGAACAAACAGACTGATGATTAAAAAACTGCATTTGTTGCTGTCACAACCTTGGAGTTGCGTGAGGGAGCTTCAGGTTGGCTTTCAGACTGAGCTAGCCTGTCCCTCCAGGGCAGCTTCCCACATCTGAGTGGATTCTAGTATCCTGTGTCCCAGGGGAAGACTTATATAAGTGTGGAAATGCATACAAGATGTAATGTTATTAGTCATTTAAAAAATCATATTAAGGAAAGATAGTCAATGACATTGCAAAGTATTTAATAAAAATGCTAAATAATATTTATTGGTTATATTAACACATACATTAACATGCTTATTTTTCAAAAATTATATGAGATAAGTACACTATTTTCCCAAGTTCACATAGTAATGCTCGGCAGTACTGTCTCTGTATATATTATAGTCTCCTTTTTTTATCTAATGAATCTGTATGCCTTAGGTAATGATCATGATTTTCTTTTAAAAATTATTCATACATATACGTATATGTCTGGAGGAGGGCATGGCAACCCACTCCAGTATTCTTGCCTGGAGAATCCCATGGTCAGAGGAGCCTGGTGGGCTACAGTCCATGGCATTGCACAGAGTTGGACACGACTGGATGGGCTTAGCACGCATGCATGCACATGTATATGTATATCCAGTCTTCTCTGGATGGTGAGATTATGGGTGATTTAGGCGATTTTTATTTTCTTTTTTATGCTTTCCAGTATTTCTATACTGTAGATGGATAGCTTTTACAAGTAGTAGAGAAAAAATTAAGTAAATTTCTTTAGCACTAGATATGTCTAACCAGTAGGAGGAGACAGGTTTCACAACACAGCGACTGCCCACCCTTGTCCAGTGTTTCTGCCTCTGTGCCCACCCTTAGTGGGAGAGATGAAGAACAGCCTGTAGTCAGTCAGGTAGGGGAGAACACTCCGTTCTCTAACTGGGCACTTGTGAGTGACTGGCTCAGGGCAGGGTGCATTTGATCTCAGAAGCTTTTTCCCCCTGCAGAAGTGTTTAGGATGACGTAAGCAAGCACTTCCTTGTCTTTGTCTGCGCGCCCTCTTCCCCTGCCCGAGAGTCTCTGGACGTCTCCAGCTGTGTCGGTGCCCGGCTGCCCTGCCAGTCCCCGGTCCCTGCGTGGTGGCCGTCCTGGGCTGCACCAGGGAAAGCAGCCAGGCTGCTGAGATGCCACAGGAGGCTCTTTCCGCCCTGCCCCCTGTGGAACTGGGCTCTTTCTTCTTTGCCCCTCTTGTTCCCTCTCAGTCATGTCCCCCTGGCACCATCTGGAGCAGGTCTCTCCTACACGTGTCTGCATTGCCTTTTCTTCCTTCTGGAAAGTGAGTTTGTGCAGAGGCAGGGACTCTTCTGCTTGACTGGATGTTGCTGTACTTGCCAGGCATACAGAGCACTTTTCAGAGGTGAATTGTCTTGGATGTAGTAAGTCCATGATCAGACAAAAGAAGTCAAAGGTGAAGGTATATGAATAAGTTAAAAGTAGATTGGGTAAATATTGAGAGTCCGCCTGCAATACAGGAGACCTGGGTTCGATCCCTGGGTTGGGAAGATACCTAGGAGTAGGAAATGGCAACCCATGCCAGTATTCTTGCCTGGAGAAAGCCATGGACAGAGGAACCCGGCGGGCTACAGTTCACGGGGTCACAAAGAGTCAGACACAACTGAGCAACTAACACTTTTGAAGATTGAGAAGAGTTTTATGGCAAAGCAAAGGGGACCTTCTCAAAGGATAAAAATGTGTGCATAATGCTTTGATTTCTATACGAATAACTGGGAAATGAACATCTTACTGTTGGAGAAAGTTTTTCTGTACTTTCAAGTAGGAAATTGAATACAAAGGAATTGTTTCATTTAGGAACAAGTTACACTGTCACACTGTCACCTATGACTGCCAGAATAACCTTTTTGGTTAAGTAAACCAGCCACTTCCTTTTAGCTCATTTGCCTGGAGAAAAATATTCATTTTTCTCTCTCTCCTTCAAACAGCATCCTGGTGGGGAGGAAGTCTTAAGAGAACAAGCTGGAGGTGATGCTACTGAAAACTTTGAGGATGTTGGACACTCTACAGATGCGCGAGAATTGTCCAAAACGTTTATCATTGGAGAGCTGCACCCAGTAAGTTCCTTCTGGGGGGCCTTGTTTCTCTTTAAGGCTATGGCTTGACCTTCGGCTTGACCTTACTCAAACCTGTAGACTTGCATATTACAAAATGTAAAAAGGAATAAAGCAAAAAAGCAATTCCTCCTGACTGTAGAACACCATTTCATCAAAAAATAAACTGACCAGAAATTTCTTTGCACTCCCTGGTTACATTTTTCATGAGCACTCAGAATCCTATCATCCAGGGTCAGGTCCTGGGGACGGTGAGTCCCAGGCTCTGAAGTCCCTTGAGCAGCAGATTTTAGAAGGTGGGGTGTTGACCCAGAGTAGTGTTATTTTTAATTTTTTTTCTTTTTCTTTCTTAAGAAGCTTGTTTCTTTTTTCTTTCTTTCTTTATATTTATTTTTAAACATTTTTTAATAAATAAAAGTTTTTAAAATAATGAAAAATTAAAATTAAATTTTGAAAAATGAATAAATATATAAAAAGAAACTCCTTTCTACTTTTGTTAGTTTGAGGATATTTTAATTCTAAAATGTGATTTAGAAATTTTTAAAAGATCAGCTGTTAAATGAATAAACCCTGCCTTCTGTAAAACCCACACACAGTCCTCATCCTTCTGACTCTGCCTGAGACCTTTGAGAACATCTCCCTTGGTGCTAGTCCATGGGCTGACTTTGGGAAAACAGAGGCTTGTTTCAGCTTTTCTGTAAACCCAGGGGTGTAATAGGAGTTGAGGCCCTTGTGCAGCATTTTGAAATGTGCACGTGTGACTGCACTCATCCATCAACCAGCATTGCCAGGAACTTTAGAGATGTGCAGACCTGGAGTGTGGAACAGGCAGGCAGGGACCCCGCACCTCTGAGAGGGCGTGGATCTCCCCTCCGAGCCAGCGCCTGCCTGTCCCCTCGCCCGTCTCTGGACATGTCACCAGTGGCCCACCCGAAGGGCTGGAGGTGCTGCTGGAAGTGGGCCCCAACGAGGAAATAACAAAGCAAAGAGCCTCGACCCCAGTGAGCATGCCGAGAAACCCTCTAAAAAACACCCCGTGCGAATGTGTGTTGTGTCTGGTTGATGCTTCTTGTAATGGCCCTGGGTGAGGAAGGGTTGAAGCAGGCTCTCTGGGGAAGGCCTGGAGCTGTTTTAGAGCAGTTTCCATTGAGTGAGGAGGTTGGGTTTTGGGTGGTAGGAGATGGTACTTTGAGAAAGGCAGCTTCATTTCCCGGGAAAGTTTATTCACCCACATATTTTCATCTTTATCTTCATATTTTCCCGAAGCGATGTCGTTTGATGGTAATCGGAGAGGACTGCCCTTTAAATGTTCCCTCCTGTCCTTATTCTTTCCCTTCTTGTGGGGTTGGAGCAGGTGAGTTTTCAGGCTGTGGCTGTAGCATGTTTGCCTCACCTGTGATCAGCCTTTGTTGTTGAGTCGCTAAGTGATGTCCAGCCTTTTGTGACCCTGTGAACTCGCAGCCCACCAGGTTCTTCTGTCCATGGGATTTCCAGGCAGGAATACTGGAGCAGGCTGCAATTTCCTTCCCAAGGTGTCTTCTCGAACCAGGGATCAAATCCTCATCTCCTGCATTGGCAGGCGGGTTCTTTACCACTGAGCCAATCACCCTTTTAATACACTTTGTTTTAGATGGAGGTTTGAGTAGATTATGACCCTACAATTGAGAGACTGCAGGAATTCACTGAGTATACCACACATATTGCACACTCACACACGTGTATATGCACACATCTGAAAGGGAGTTTCAGAGGACAGAAAGGAAAAATCTAATTAGATCTCAGCTGCTCCCTGAATTACAGATCAGAATCTAACAAATGTATATACAGATCAGCATATAAATATGACTATCACAAACGCTATTTTAAATTTTGGAACTCTAGATTAGAATACGTCTCAGCACTTTAAATTGTTGCACCTGGATGATTCAACCTGGGTATTTAATAACGGGTAGAACCTAAAATGCTAATTATTGAATGGCAGTTTTTTAAATGTCAGTAAAAGCGAACACTTCAGAAATGATAGTTTTGTAGATGTTTTTCCTTTCATAATAGGCTTTATTTTTTTATTGCAGGAAGACAGAGAGAAGATAACCAAGCCTGCGGTACGTGTGACCATCTGTGGTGTCTCGGTGGCTACATTATCTTCGCTGTATTTCATACCTGTCAAACTGGAGGGCAAAGGTCATTTACTTACCTGAGACCAGCACAGGTCTTTCTAGGTTAGATGAATATGTACCCTGTTGCCTCAGCAAAATTTTTTATCTGTTTAGATCCATCAGTATATTTTATTAGGATAGCTTTATATTCTCCTCGTAAGATTGTCAATACTTAAAATAACATTTCCATCATCATTACCAGCAGATACCTTTTGAAGGGCTACTTCTGCTTTTTATTTACATAAGTAGCCTTGTGCTTCTGAACTGAAACATTTGACGTAAGTCTTTTTTTCGGAGAACTTAAAATCTCAGTAGAGTCTTCATACTTAAACCTTTAAGGTGTCTGTCGATGTCTTCTTCATCTCCACATCTCTGGGACATAGTAGGTGTTCAGTAAATATTTACTGGTTGAATTTAATGCTAATTAAATAACATTTTGATGCATTTTTCCTTAGGAAAAGAAAATAATTCCAGTAATGTTCATTTTATGCCCAGGTTCACCTGCCCTTCTCTCTGAACTGATCAGCTCATTTGTATGACCTAGTACCTTCTTTGAGGCTCCCTTTTGGATTGCTGAAATTCTGTGGGGCTTGAAGTCTTTTGCTTTTTCTTCAAGGGAAGAAGTGTAGTTTCTCCTGTTAGGTGTTCAGGATGTTATCTTGGCACATATTGTTCAGCTACAGTAAAATGAGGATTTGATAAGGCTCATCACCTGAGCTTAGAACTGACATAGATCCAGCTGTGTCCTGAACCATGATTCCTGCCAGCAGAAAGCGCCAGTCAGAGCTAAGGTCTCCTACGTAGTCGCTTTACTCCCGAGAGACACACTCTTTCCTCCTGTAGAACATACATGGGTGGCTTTGTTTACTGCAGAGCAGAACTGGGGGAGTGCGGGGCTGGAACTTGCTGGTTTTCAAGGCCAGAGGCAGACACATGGACACTTTTCTGGGTTTATCTTTCTTGTGCTTCTAGCTTACCAGAAGAAGAGAGTTCTTTGTTGTGTCTGTATAACTATCCCATCTGTTTCCAGGCTGATAAACATACATTGTGGTCTGAATTTTTGAAATGTTGCCTGCTTAAACTGTTTGAATTGTGAAACAAGATGCACCAGAGTATTAGCTTGAACCTGCCAAAGGGAAACAGATTGAGTTGCCACGTTAAGGTATTTGTATGAATAAATACAGAGACAGTGCAGTTTTAAGTGAGCAAATCCAGATCTATCAATTTGACATGGAGGATATCAGTAATGGCAGTACCTACTGATAGGTTTCTGTGGTTGCTATCTTAGAAGCTTTGCTACGTAAGTGAGCTGATTTGATTCTCAAGGTATCATAGGGAGCTCCTGGACCTACCAGAGAAAGTGTAAAGAATGAAAGTCAACGTTGTTCCAAGCTTTGACTTTGTCAAGGTCACACACAGCAGAACCACTGCTGTGGTTTAACCACCCATTTAAGGTGTAGTGCTTGCGAGTCTCTCAGGCCTCTGTAAGCTCTGACCTCTGCATAAAAGCATCGCTCCATCAGCAGTATTTTTAGGGAAGCCTTCCGGTGAAGGAATGGGCTTAGTCAGATGAACTTATAAATGATTTGCATGGGCTTTGCATGAGAGCTTATCACGTGTTGATTTCATTGCTCACCTTTTCCTACCTGAAGGTGAACCCCTCAAGTTCACTGTGTGAACAGGAGGCACAGCCTGTAATAAAGACCGAAGGCTTTCCTCCGTCTTCCTTGATAGATTTGTCAGTTGCATACCAAAACCCAACTGGGGCCCAGTGCTGAGTGGTAATTCAAACTTGTCTTAACGCTGAAGCATCCCTGGGTTATTATCTAACAGATAATAAGCAATCAAAAAATGCGTATTGTCTTTTACAGTGCAGCTCTTTAGAGGATCTTTGTTGTTGCTGGTGGTGACCACACCCTAGTGGTGCATTCCACTCACGGTACCAACGAAGGTGGAGGAAGGAAGGCCAGCGAGTTTCCATGCAGAGTTGTTAGCACGTTTGGTGCAATGCATGTGTTGGGTGTGACAAAATAACCTCTGTTCACTGTTTCAGGCTTAGCTTTCTAGTGTGCTGATAACACTTCACCTTAAATGGACTGTTGCATTTGTTTCAGAACTGATTATGTCTTTAAATGTCTCTAATAGCTAAATAATATTTTCACACTGTCCAGTTACCTCTTGTAATCCTTGTTCATTTTATTTGCCTATACAAAATGTGAAAACTAATCTTGCAGTAGTTATGAATACTTTTGTAGTCTCTGAGATTTAATGTTGCTTCAAAAGATAATGACTGTGAAGTTTTCTTTTTGAATGACTGTGTTTTTCCCTCCTCCTGTGTCAGGAATCTTAAAGGCCATGTCTCCAGGTTGGTGGGTGTCATAACTGCTTTGCCTGATTTTCCCGTGGAAGCTTTCAGCCTTTTTACGGGAATGTCTTTAACGCGCTTTGCTGTGTGTAGCATTGCCTTGCTGCAGATCATTGAACATTTGCTAATGCTTTTTTATTTTGTGCTTTGGGAAACTACAGCTGCATTATTTCCGTCTACCTTCCTGTGAGGCACTAATGCTTTTGCTGGTGTGGAGCTTCGAGAGTGCTTCTTAACAACTTTTCAGTCCCGAAAAAGCTTACATCCTACTTGGCCTTGGTTACCCCATTGTTTGGGGCAGACTGTCTTCCCAGAGCCATCTGTAGTTCATTTTCATGGTACTGATAAGAAGGACCTTTCTCAGAAGGTGTTGGAAGGTAAACCAGGAGATAGCTGTGAAAGCCCCTGGCATTTGAGGATTTCTTGGTGGGTGATGGTGTGATGTCAGCCTGTGAGGCTGCCAGTTTTTGTTTAAAATAAAAACCCTGCCAGAGTTAAAGAAGACCAGGAAAGGTGGTCCAGACTGTTATAATTTAAATGCTACTTCTTTTTTTTGGTTTTTTTTTGGTTGACTCATTTTTTAAATATAATCTGGGTACACTTTTACTTCTATGAGATTTGATGAAATACTGATGTTTTGTTGAACATTGCATTCCTTTTGAAGAATGAAACTGGTCTCCTTAAAGATGATGATACATTTTTTGTATTTTTTTTATTTTTATTTTTTTTATTTTTTTATTATTTATTTATTTTATCACAAATGATACCTGTGTTCAGTTTCTACATTAAGCATTTATGTCTGTCATAAATTTATTATTTATGCATTAAGCATAAATGTCTGTCATGTACAGAATTAGGTATCCTATTAATTTTTAAGATTTTCTTGCAAATTTTCAGGTTATGTTCGTAAGTAATTTAAATAGAGACCCTTCTTAAAATTTTTTTCTTCTGAGAAAATGGTGAGTTTGGGTATATAAGTGAAGCTTATGATGTCATTTTTCCTTCAGACTTTTTTTTTTGTTTGAAGAATGCATTGAATAAGAAGAATGAATTGAATAAACTGTTGTGGTTTTGTTTTAAAGCAGGTTATAGTCAATTGAATGAACGTTCAGATGTTCCCTTTAACTTACCTTTTCTTGTGTTTCAGGAAAGTATTATTACTACCGTTGATTCTAATCCCAGGTATGTGGTGGTTTTCTTTAAAAGTATGACTGATCACAAGGCTCCTAGAATCAGAGTTGGACTGGGGAGGCTCTCCCCATATCCGAGGCATCTCTGTTGCTCGGGCTCCCACCATGCTCCTCTCTGTGGACAGGTCGGGGTCCTCCCCACTTAGCACCCAGGCTACCCAGGGCCTGCCTTCCTAAACTGTCAAACGGCTCAGATGTCTCAGACAGCCCCCCGTCTCAGGCTGCGGCCGCACCTACCTGGAGGAACAGAGCAAATGAGGCTCCGCCTCCCCACTGTGGGCTGGACAACTTCTTATCTTGAGGCGAATATTCCATCTCCTTCCTCATTTGACATGTGGCCAGTTTCTTAAATTGTCATGATTATATCTCCTTAAGCATGGTTCGGTTTTCCCTTGTCCCTTTTCTAGTCTGTCCTGAAATGGAACCCAGTGATCCAAGTATATCTTGAGTCACTTGTTCTAGGCACTTGATTTAAGATCATATTGATAGCTCCCAAGTGGCCCAGTGGCAAAGAATCTGCCTCCCAAAGCAGGAGATTCAAGTTCAATCCCTGGGTCAGTAAGATCCCCTGGAGAAGGAAATCGTAACCCACTGCAGTCCACTGGGTCACTGAGTCAGGTGCGACCTAGCATGCACAAGATCATCCTGACATTTTTGGCAGTTCTACCATCCTTAGACTGCCATCAAATACAATTTTTTGGACCCAAGCTTGAAGCCACACACTCCTGCCTGTTATATTCCACCCTGTCGAAGTTTGCTGTCCCCAGGCTATTGTATTCTGGTACATTCCCCGCAGTATTTCCTCCTGCTTTACCCTGAAATGTCCGTCTCCTCCTAAATGGAAACTGAAAACCTACCAAATTACACTCATAATCCTTTTGCAATTTAAATCTTGATTTTGAACTTGCTCTTTGTGAGGAGTATTAAAGGACAGGAAGTTTATGACAAAAACCATGGCGTGTGTGTCAGCTGTTACCTGCTCTTTCTCCAGATTCTAAAACCCATACATTATTTCTGTTTTCTAAGAAATTATAAGTTCACATCTGTATTCATGATCTTTCTAGCCCTGCCCCTGATTAATCTGTCATTTATAGTAGATCAGTATATCGGAACTGAACAGTATATGAATTAGGGATTTTTGTGAATTCACAGCTATGGACCACAGATTCAATCATTTGGGCATGCTTTTTCTTAACACGTTAAACCTACTGCACACAAGTAGCGATTAGATTTTCTAACTAGAATCACAGCATGTTGCGCTGTGGTGCTGGTGGCGGCCTCAGTAACCGTGTGCTTCACATCCCTCAGCTTTGCAGCTCAGGGCACGCGATTTGCCCTTGGCTATGGAGCCTGCTGATGGCTTTCACTAAATGAGAAACCTGGTCTTCTGCTTTGCAGTTCAGTGCCATTGTTAACCTATGGACATACCTAGATCAATACCTGTTTACTTTTCTGAACTTGTGATATGAAACCCAGAATTGATGTCCTTTCAATAAGTCACTAGTGCTTGGCATCTGTTGAGGGAGTGATACACAGCTGTTTGTATGAATTCATAGAAATAGATCTAAGTGGGACTGGGAGGGCATTCATTTTCTTATAAAGCTGGAAGGGTGGAGCAGTGGCCGTTATACCAGGACATGTGTTGTACTCACGTCCCTTTTAGCAATTTAGAGTGAGCTTTTCATCCAGAAAGGTTAGAGGAGTAACAGAACATTTCCATGGTGACTGTCATGGTAAGGAGACAGAGCAGAGTTTTGAGTCTGCTTTGTGGAACATCATGCAAGCGTCATTGCTCTTTCTTTCCAGCTGGTGGACCAACTGGCTGATCCCAGCTATCTCGGCACTGGTTGTAGCCCTGATGTATCACCTCTATACTTCAGAAAACTAAACGCATTCTCAGAAGCCAGTGGAAGAAAAGACTGCTTTGGTCCGGGGAGAAAGAAGCCACCACTCTTAACTCTGACTGACAGAACCCTTCACCTGAAAATAATCTGAATACACCTGTTTTCCTTTCCTCCTACATTAGACACAAACCAAAACTGTTCCATTCTTTCAACTACTGAACTTCTAGAGTGTGCCTTCTTATTCGTCACCTTTGTTTTGATGTTCCATCACTACATCATTTGCTTATTGTGGGCAAGATCTTTTAAAACATACCACCATGCTGAGCTGTCTGTTGGTATATAATTGTCTTTCATGTTTAGAATCTGATTACTTGGCAGTCATTTAATGCGCTTGTCTTTTAGACCCAAGTTGTCTGAGGTGAGGAGGGGTGTCCTTGGGTCATTTCTTCTGCTGCTTCATCTAATTGAATGATCAGATTTTTCATGTTTTTAGTGTAGTTTTTTTTTTTAAGGAAACTAAGGAAGGCCCAGAAATAATAGCTTAAAGATTTCTAATAATTTTTCTACAAATAACAACCGAATAGAAAATAAAAAGAGAAAGTAGCCTGCGAGACCTAGAAAAGATGCTCTATCTCATCTTGGATTAAAAACACCAGCAGTGTCAACAAGAAGCCTGAGAACCATGAGACAACATTGCCGCTGTCCCATCTCTGAGCTTAAACAGTTTGCACAAAGCTTCTGATTGCACAGAGATCCTCAGCTGACAGTTTCTCAGGTTCTACAGACTCTCCTTCAGAAGTGAAAACTGCTTTTGTGCCCCCATAAGGAAATCTTGATTCCCTAATCTGGCTTTTTTTGGGGGAGGGATCTAACCAGCATTTATAGAATATTTTCTTCTACTACATCAAAATGAACACTTTTAAGCTCAGACGAAACTTTGGTTGAAGTAGACAACACTGTGGGTCACAATTCAAATTTAAGAGAATCATACAAAGCATTTTCTCAGACTGTGAATCAATGAAGCTAGGTGGTAATAAAAAAAAAAAAGCCGAAAATATAAAAATACTTGCAGGTGGAACAACACACTGCAAAATAACATGTGGGTCAAAGAGGTCCCAGATAATTTTAAAATGTCTTGAACTAGTGATTCACTAATTTGTACAAACACACTTGAGATCATGGGACATTCGGAGTCTTGATTTTTTAAGAAATTTAGCTCTGGTGACAGGCCATGGGGAACTCTGATGTGACTCTGATTCAACCATCCTATTCTTGTTTATTCTCTAACCTGTGCTTTTTTTTTTTCCTCTCAAGAAACTTGAGAGATGAATTTATAGACTTGAAGTACATCATAGTTAGCGATGATTGTCCATTGGCGTACTAGCCGACTGATGAGCCATGGCATTCATCAGAAATATCTAAAGCACATTAAAGAATTTGTTTAAATTTCAGAGCATACATATATTTTTATAATCAATGACATGTACCACCCTCTGCCTCTTCTGTGACTGGAGGTTGGAGTGAATGTTGGAGAGTGGTGGGGGAGGTGTCTGTATCACATGGGAAAATGCCTGGCAGAGGACTGCTTTGTCCAGATTTTAATAAACATATTCCTGGAACAAAACTCATGCCTCTCATGATGGACTTGAAGCGCCCGCCCTCCCTCTGCATGTTGGTACATCCACAGACAAGTCAACAGGCTCTGCTGTAACATGCTGTCATGACTGTTAGTCATGAATAGGTCAGCTAAATAAAAACTGTGGACCTTCACCCTGCTTTTTGAGGCTACCTGTCAAGGGTTTCCATGTCGAGTTCCCCAGTTCTCCTCTGGGATAGTGGAGCAGTTGGTTCACAGCTCCGGATGTGGTTTTCAGCATCATCATGAACGGTGTGTCTGGAAATAAACAGTATAACCAAAGCAATTGAGGCAGGCCCCTCACCCCCACCCCTGGCCCCATAGCTGGTTCCTGTGAAGCTTGAAATGACCACCAAATTCACACTCCAGTGAATTATTTGTGTGTCTCTCATCTGGATCTCTTAGAAGCTTGCTTTAAATTAGAATGAGGATGAGATACTTGGCATGGGAAATTTGGGCAAAGTGACTGTGATTGCAATATTTAGAGTTAAAAGCCGTGTCCTGCCCATGTGCAGAATCTGTGAAGCTGGGTTGCCCCAGCCCCCAGGCGCCTCTTTCTGCTTTGCCCTGACTGCATGTCTTCACTGTCACCTTATCTGGAAGCCCGGTTTGGTTTGGCTTCGTATCAGGGTGGGGAGCTCTGGGACTGGGGGTGGTCCACAGTCGCCCTTAGAGATCAGGGTCCACTCCTGTGCCACCAGCATTAACAAAGACAAGCTTGCATATCACCCCTGTCCTCTGCGAGCCTGATCACGGCCCTGGGAGGAGTGGGCGTGGAAGAGAAGACTTGATGGCGGGCATCGGGCTGGACTGACCTGTCTGCTGTGCCCAGCTGCCCGAAGGGTGGGCAGGCTCAGGGGAGGGCAACCGGAGAGGAAGCCGTTGTATGCAGGAAGCCTGGCCTCGATCTCTAGAAACTGTAGAAAGCCATACAAGGGATTCCCATGGTGACTGGAGGAGGGGCGGGGTGTTCACCTAGAGGCGTGTTTTGTAATCAGTTGTTTGAGAACCTGAAAGATCTCACAGTCATTCTATAAATTCTGAAACATAAATCACAGTCTTAATTTGTTTTTTTGAATGTCGAACATCAAACATCAAGATAGAAAACAAATCCCAAGTTGTTGGTGGGAATGATGCATCTCTCAAGGAAAGTCCTAAAAAATGGAAAAATAGGTAACCTTGCATTCTGCTTCTGTCCCCTGTTGTCTCATGCCTCAGTATCTTCCTAGTTATTCCACTTTCCTAGTGAGGTTGATGATGCAAAGAACCCCTAAGTTATAAAAATCAGCCCTCTGAACTTTGGAAGCAGAATTTCTTAAATAAAGGCTAGCTGTTAGGGAGGGTGAATAGGCAGCAGGTCTTTCTGATCCCATGGTTAGTTAGTCTCTGCACCTCGGTGGTATTTGGCTTTTCCAACTGAAGTTGACTCAAGGTTTCAGGTTGGCCTTGAAACAGTTACACTTCTGGGGTGGGGCTGTGGGTGGACTCCACTCTACCACTCCCTTAAAGAAAGAAACAAGTGAGACAAAATTTTAAAACACTTATTTATATTTATTTATTTGGCTGCAACAAATCTTAGTTGAAGTTTGTGGGATATATTTCCCTGACCAGGGATTGAACCCAGGCCCCCTATATTGGGAGCTCAGTCCTAGCCCCTGGGCCACCAGAGAAGTCCCCAAGTGAAACAAACTTGCTTATATCTGCAGCTAACATCCTCCAAAAAGAAAGGATAGAAAAGGAACAACTGCAAAAATTGTTTACCTTCAATCCAAATAATTTAAGAAACCATTAAAATGACATTTTAGATAAGAAAATTCTATTTGTTTTGATTTTCTTGGAGCCATGGAGAAATTCTGGTAATAACTGAACAATTAGAAGTTCTGGTAGAAAGAATTTAAAATTCACATGATACGTCTAAGTAACATTGATCCTGTGGCGAATATTCAATCACTTTGGAAACTCTTGTTTCATTGCCCTAATATTTTATTCCTAACTGAATTTATTTCACCTTTATGATTATGCTTATCATGTGATAGCTCTTCAGGAAGAAGTCATCTGAGAATTGTCAGATGGACATATTTAATACAAGTCACAGCATTGCTCTCACATTCACTTTCTCAGTTAAGCAATTCAAGAACACAGTACAAGATTCATAATTATCTTGGAAGAAAACATAGGCATAGTTCTTGATGATTTTGTAGTAGGTGATCATTTCTTAGATACTGATACCAAAAGCACAAACCACAAAAGAAGAAATAAACTGAATTTCTTCAGAATTAACAACCCTGTGTTTTAAAGGACCCCATCAAGCAAGTGAAAAGACTACACACAGAACGGAGGAGAATATTTGTGTATCATATATTTAATAAGGGACTTCTAAAGAACTCTTACAATGCAATAAAAGATAATAATTGAAAAACAAGCAAAGGATCTGACTGTACATTTCTCCAAAGAAGGTGTACAAAGCCAATGAGCACATAAATGAGTTGATTTCAACCAGCATTAGTCATTAGGAAATGGAAGTCAAAGCCACAAAGAGATACCACTTCACACCCGCTAGGAAGGCCATCATAAAAAAATCTGATGGTGGCAAGTGTTGACAAAGATATGGAGAGATTGGAACCCTGTGCTTTGCTGGTGGGAACGTAAAATGGTACAGCCACTGGTGAAGACATGATGGCAGTTGCTTAAAAAGTTAACACATTCCTATGATAAGTCATTGGAAAAGCATATTAAAAAGGAAGTGTATATATAACTAAGTCCCTTTGCTATATGACAGAAATTAACACATTGTAAATCAGTTATGTGTGTGCGTGCTCAGTCATGCCTGACTCTTTGGGACTCCATGGATGGTATCCTGTCAGGCTCCTCTCACCATGGAATTTTTCAGGCAAGAATACTGGGGTGGGTTGCCATTTCCTACTCTAGAGGATCTTCCTGACCCAGGGACAGAACATGTATCTCCTGCATCTCCTACACTGGCAGGCAGACTCTTTACCATCGTACCACGCTATACTTCAGTTGAAAAGAAATTAAACATAGAATTACTGTGACCCCAAAATTCAATATGTTCAATAAAATTGAAAACATACTCATACAAAAGGACTTCCCAAGTGGCACAGTGGTAAGGAATCCACCTACTAAACAGGAGACATGAGTTTGATTCCTGGGTCGGGAAGATCCCCTGGAGAAGGAAATGGCAACCCACTCCAGTATTCTTACCTGGGAAATCCCATGGACAGAAGAGCCTGGCGGGCTACAGTCCATGGGGTTGCAAGAGAGCTGAAAACAACTTAGCGATGGAAACAACAGAAAACTCATACAAAAACCTGTATATAAATGTTCATAGCAGCGTTATTCATAATAGCCAAAAAGTCCAAACAACCCAAGTATTTGTTCATCAACAGATGAATGGATAAAAGATGTTTTATATCCATGCAATGGAGGATTATTGGATGATAAAAAGTACTATGTGTGTTACAACAGGGCTGAATCCTGAAACAGTACTCTGAGTGAAAGTGGTCACAAAAGGCCATGCTGTGTATGACTCCATTTATATGAAGTGCTCAGAACAGGCATATCTATAGAGACAGAAAGGGGTTGCCTAGGACTGTGGAGAAGTGGGGAGTGACTGCTAGTTCATATAGGGTTTCTTTTGGGGGTGATGAAAATGTTTTAAAATTGATTAAGGTGATAGCTACACATATCTGTAAGTGTATCAGTACTAAAAAACATTGAATTATGCAGTTTAAAATGGGTGAGTTGTATGGTGTGGGATTATAATATAGTTCAATAAAGCTGTTATAAAAAATTCAGCACAGGGCTTCCCTGTTGGCTCCATGGGAAGGAATCCCGTGGACATGGGTGATGCAGGAGACATGGATTTGACCCCTGATTTGGGAAGATCCCACATGCCGTGGAGCGACTCAGGCCGTGAGCCACAACTTCTGGGCCCGTGCTGCCCAAGAAAAGCGACTGCAGTGAGAAGTCCATGGTCCACAGCTGGAGAGTAGACCCCGCTCTCCGCAGCTAGAGAAGGCCCTCACAGCAACGAGGACCCAGTACAGCCAAAAAAAATACAATCATAAAAAAAAGTCAGCACACATACACACAAAAAGTCAGCACAAACAGCCCCTGTTGTTGTTCAGTCACTAGGTCCTGTCCTACTCTTTACTACTTCATGGACTGTAGCCCTCCAGGCTCCTCTGTCCATGGGATTCTCCAGGCAAGAACACTGAAGTGGGTTGCCATTTCCTCCTCCAGAGAATCTTCCCCACCCAGGGATTGAACTCACGTCTACCTGCATCTCCTGTACTGGCAGGCAGATTCATTACTACTGGGCCACCAGGAAAGCTCAAACATCTTCTACCTCCAAGACATTGGTCCTTTCCCACGTCTGTCTTCTTGGAAGCATCCAGCCGGTCATGCCAGCTTTGGGAGTCACTCGCATCTCACTCATGCACTGCATCACTTCTGAAATCAGCACTCTGGTAGAAGTGGCCTCTTTCAGGATGTGGGGTGTGAAGACACAGAAAGGACTCTTTCTTTTTACTTAATATTTTGTTCTCTGATGTGTTTTTTGAATGAAAATGTATACCTTGTGCAGTTAAGAATAAGAAACACCTCTATTGGTCTGTCTGTTCTCTACTCAAAGCCACCTCCCTTCTCTACCTCCAGTGTCCCCGCCTTAATGCAGGCCTTCAGCTCTTGTCTTCTGAATGTCTGCTGCAAATGCTCCCTCTCTTTTCCTGCTACTAGTTCTGTTCTATGGTGTATCCTTTAAGCCTTATCCAATTCATGGGACAGAGGAGGTGTCTGTTTGTTGACTGATTAACTAAACTAATAAATACTGAAGTTCCTTAGCTGGTCTCCCACCTCACATCTCTGTTTCTAGTCTTTTGTGTGTTTTATTGTATTGTTCTAAAATACCACTTTGATATTACCCTTGCACGAAAGCTTTAGTGATGGCAGAAGTCTAAGGCAGTGCTGAAGTCTCTTGGTAGGGCTGCTCCTCAGCCTGTAAGGCTATTAACTTTAAGAACTGCAGCCAGAAGGCTGGCTCCCAGTTTTGCATACTGGAGCCCAGGTACGTTTGTGCTCAGGTGTGCAGTCATGTCTGACTCTTTGTGACTCCAGGGACTTGTAGCCCGCCAGGCTCCTCTGTCCAAGGGATTTCCCAGGCAAGAATACTGGCGTGGGTTGCCATTTCCTCCTCCAGGGCATCTTCCTGACCCAGGGATTGAACCTGCATCTCCTGCGTCGGTAGGCAGATTCTTTACCACCGAGCCACCAGGGAAGCCCAGGTATGTTTAGGCTCTAGCAGTTTCTCAGCAATGACAAGAGACGGAGAAAGGTGTTATCTAACGAAGCACTGATATTCTTAGCGTGTCAGAACCAGTTGGCCAGTGAGGCTAGGTTAGCACCTAGACCTTGGAGCCTGTCCAAAAGATGGAGGGTGAGAGAGGCTGGAAAGTTATCAGTTGCAAACAGGAGGGCAAGGCTGCTTACACACCCAGAGGTCAGGGAAGTTCTGTGCTCTTGGAGCTGAGTTTGATTAACTTCTGCTAGTTACTCTTTATCTATGTTGAGCTGCAGTATCTTGTGACTTCAGCAAAGCCACCCCAGACCTGAGCCTGTAGACTCTTCCAAGCTGGTAAAGTTTACTTGGCAGTAAGCCCTACCTGAAAGCTTTCATTTTAACAAAAACATGTAGGTCTTAAGGGCACTGAGGGACACTCTCCTTCTGGGAA